GTGCCAGAGGAGCCCTCTCTGCGGGCACATGCGCTGTCGCCAGCTGCTCTTTTGGTTTCCAGCACACACATGCTTTGTCTTCGTGGGTTAGGGTTCGGGCTGTTTACAGGACATTTTTGGCCCAAAGAAACAGCCCGAAAAATGCCCCCAAAACGGGCCATTTTCAGGCTGTTTTTCACATCAAAAATGGCCCCAAAACAGCCAGAAACAGGCTGTTTTGGGGACCCTTTTCGGGGTACGAAAATACCCTGAAAATGGGCCAGAAACCAGCCTGTAAATGGCCCCCAAACAGGCTATTTTGGGGGGGGGGGCATTTTCAGGCTGTTTTTCACATCAAAAATGGCCCCAAAACAGCCAGAAACAGGCTGTTTTGGGGACCCTTTTCGGGGTACGAAAATACCCTGAAAATGGGCCAGAAACCAGCCTGTAAATGGCCCCCAAACAGGCTATTTTGGGGGGGGGGCATTTTCAGGCTGTTTTTCATGCAGCTTTCTGGCCATTTTTTTGGGCCAAATGCAGCTGAAAAATGGCCAAAAAAATAGTCATGAGCCAGCCGGTCAGCTGGCCTTCAGGTTTCCAGTTCTGGTGCATTCTCATGCGCATCTGTTCCAGTTTGGGCACTCGGGGGGGCAAAAAGGTTGGCTGCCACTGTTACCGGCTACCCTGCAAAAGGTCCTTTCCGGGAAGAGATTCCCCCAAATAAACTTTCCTCTTAAACTTCCTGATGGCTTTCTTAGAATGAATTGTCTATTTGGTCGACTGGAAGGCCGACGGAGAAAACTTTCGCCCTTTCAACTAAAATGTATTTTTTTTTTGAACAGCGGCCTGAGAAATCTCCATTCCAGCTTTGCTTCTAACAAGTTTTATCCCTTGCTGGAAAAAAAAATCAGAAATTATCCCAAAACTATTCAGATGGCAAGGAATGTCTCTTGTCCTGGTTCGATCAACTTCCGGGTCAGTGTTTCCCAACCTTGGCAGGTTTTAAGAGGGGTGGCCTTCAACTCCCAGAATGCCCCATTTCAAGCAGAGCCGGCTGGGGGGATTCTGGGAGTTGAAGTCCACCCCTCTTAAAACCTGCCGAGGTTGGGAAAAAACTGCAAAGCTGGTGGCTCGCTTTACAATGAATGCACCAAGGCAATAACAATACAGCTATTTTTGGGGTGCGCAGTTGTCAATTTCCTATCAAGAACCAGTTTGTAGTGTTAACTCCAGTTTTGTATGTCAAAATACCAGGGCAGGAAGTGAGTCTGGGGGAGAATTATGGGCCACTGTTGTCTGAGGTTAACAGAACTTGGGGCTTTCCCGAGTTTCTCCTCTTTATGTCGTTTCTTAAAATGTCGTCCCCCGTCCCCCCGAAAGAAATTTACACTGGAAAAGCCAAGTTGAATAAAGACATGCTCTTGTATGTTACTTTCCCCCCCTCTTAATTTGCGTTTTTAGGATTTATGCACTGCTGGTTGGTCAACCTTCCATTCAATTTTGAAAGTTTCCCTCCCAAGCGAATACTTCAAAAGCGGATCCACCCATAGCCGCTTTCATTATGTTCATTTAAAAAAAAAAATCCCATTTTAAACAGAATAACCAAGTTGGAGGGGACCTTAGAGGTCTTCCAGTCCAACCCCCAGCTTAAGGCAAAAGTCTTTATGCCATTCCAGACAAGTGCCTGTCCAGTCTCTCTTCTTAATAACCTCCAGTGATGGAGGACCTACAACTTCTGGTGGCAAGCTGTTCCACTGGTTCATTGTTCTCACCATTAGGAAATTCCACCTTAGTTCCAGGTTGAATCTCTCCTTGGTCAGTTTCCATCCATTCTTCCTTCTCTGGCCTTCAGGTGTTTTGGAAAATAGCTTGACCCCCTTCCTCCTCTCTGGGGCAGCCCCTCAAA